CTTCACTTAACATGCGTGTAACTGTTACCATGTTAGAAAGGTGCCTCACTTCACTTGACATGCGTGTAACTGTAACCATGTTAGAAAGGTGCCTCACTTCACTTAACATGCGTGTAACTGTTACCATGTTAGAAAGGTGCCTCACTTCACTTGACATGCGTGTAACTGTAACCATGTTAGAAAGGTGCCTCACTTCACTTAACATGCGTGTAACTGTAACCATGTTAGAAAGGTGCCTCACTTCACTTGACATGCGTGTAACTGTAACCATGTTAGAAAGGTGCCTCACTTCACTTAACATGCGTGTAACTGTAACCATGTTAGAAAGGTGCCTCACTTCACTTGACATGCGTGTAACTGTAACCATGTTAGAAAGGTGCCTCACTTCACTTAACATGCGTGTAACTGTAACCATGTTAGAAAGGTGCCTCACTTCACTTGACATGCGTGTAACTGTAACCATGTTAGAAAGGTGCCTCACTTCACTTAACATGCGTGTAACTGTAACCATGTTAGAAAGGTGCCTCACTTCACTTGACATGCGTGTAACTGTAACCATGTTAGAAAGGTGCCTCACTTCACTTGACATGCGTGTAACTGTTACCATGTTAGAAAGGTGCCTCACTTCACTTGACCTGCGTGTAACTGTTACCATGTTAGAAAGGTACCTCACTTCACTTGACATGCGTGTAACTGTTACCATGTTAGAAAGGTGCCTCACTCCACTTGTCCTGCGTGTAACTGTTACCATGTTAGAAAGGTGCCTCACTTCACTTGACCTGCGTGTAACTGTTACCATGTTAGAAAGGTGCCTCACTTCACTTGACATGCGTGTAACTGTTACCATGTTAGAAAGGTGCCTCACTTCACTTGACCTGCGTGTAACTGTTACCATGTTAGAAAGGTGCCTCACTTCACTTGACCTGCGTGTAACTGTTACCATGTTAGAAAGGTCCCTCACTTCACTTAACATGCGTGTAACTGTTACCATGTTAGAAAGGTGCCTCACTTCACTTGACATGCGTGTAACTGTAACCATGTTAGAAAGGTGCCTCACTTCACTTAACATGCGTGTAACTGTTACCATGTTAGAAAGATGCCTCACTTCACTTGACCTGCGTGAAACTGTTACCATGTTAGAAAGGTACCTCACTTCACTTGACATGCGTGTAACTGTTACCATGTTAGAAAGGTGCCTCACTTCACTTGACATGCGTGTAACTGTAACCATGTTAGAAAGGTGCCTCACTTCACTTAAAATGCGTGTAACTGTTACCATGTTAGAAAGGTGCCTCACTTCACTTGACATGCGTGTAACTGTAACCATGTTAGAAAGGTGCCTCACTTCACTTAACATGCGTGTAACTGTAACCATGTTAGAAAGGTGCCTCACTTCACTTGACATGCGTGTAACTGTAACCATGTTAGAAAGGTGCCTCACTTCACTTAACATGCGTGTAACTGTAACCATGTTAGAAAGGTGCCTCACTTCACTTGACATGCGTGTAACTGTAACCATGTTAGAAAGGTGCCTCACTTCACTTAACATGCGTGTAACTGTAACCATGTTAGAAAGGTGCCTCACTTCACTTGACATGCGTGTAACTGTTACCATGTTAGAAAGGTGCCTCACTTCACTTAACATGCGTGTAACTGTAACCATGTTAGAAAGGTGCCTCACTTCACTTGACATGCGTGTAACTGTAACCATGTTAGAAAGGTGCCTCACTTCACTTAACATGCGTGTAACTGTAACCATGTTAGAAAGGTGCCTCACTTCACTTGACATGCGTGTAACTGTAACCATGTTAGAAAGGTGCCTCACTTCACTTAACATGCGTGTAACTGTAACCATGTTAGAAAGGTGCCTCACTTCACTTGACATGCGTGTAACTGTAACCATGTTAGAAAGGTGCCTCACTTCACTTAACATGCGTGTAACTGTAACCATGTTAGAAAGGTGCCTCACTTCACTTGACATGCGTGTAACTGTAACCATGTTAGAAAGGTGCCTCACTTCACTTAACATGCGTGTAACTGTAACCATGTTAGAAAGGTGCCTCACTTCACTTGACATGCGTGTAACTGTAACCATGTTAGAAAGGTGCCTCACTTCACTTGACATGCGTGTAACTGTTACCATGTTAGAAAGGTGCCTCACTTCACTTGACATGCGTGTAACTGTTACCATGTTAGAAAGGTCCCTCACTTCACTTGACCTGCGTGTAACTGTTACCATGTTAGAAAGGTCCTTCACTTCACTTGACATGCGTGTAACTGTTACCATGTTAGAAAGGTGCCTCACTTCACTTAACATGCGTGTAACTGTAACCATGTTAGAAAGGTGCCTCACTTCACTTGACCTGCGTGTAACTGTTACCATGTTAGAAAGGTACCTCACTTCACTTGACATGCGTGTAACTGTTACCATGTTAGAAAGGTGCCTCACTCCACTTGTCCTGCGTGTAACTGTTACCATGTTAGAAAGGTGCCTCACTTCACTTGACCTGCGTGTAACTGTTACCATGTTAGAAAGGTGCCTCACTTCACTTGACATGCGTGTAACTGTTACCATGTTAGAAAGGTGCCTCACTTCACTTGACCTGCGTGTAACTGTTACCATGTTAGAAAGGTGCCTCACTTCACTTGACCTGCGTGTAACTGTTACCATGTTAGAAAGGTGCCTCACTTCACTTGACATGCGTGTAACTGTTACCATGTTAGAAAGGTGCCTCACTTCACTTGACATGCGTGTAACTGTAACCATGTTAGAAAGCTGCCTCACTTCACTTAACATGCGTGTAACTGTTACAATGTTAGAAAGATGCCTCACTTCACTTGACCTGCGTGTAACTGTTACCATGTTAGAAAGGTGCCTCACTTCACTTGACATGCGTGTAACTGTTACCATGTTAAAAAGGTGCCTCACTCCACTTGTCCTGCGTGTAACTGTTACCATGTTAGAAAGGTCCCTCACTTCACTTGACATGCGTGTAACTATTACCATGTTAGAAAGGTGCCTCACTTCACGTGACCTGCTTCTAACTGTAACCATGTTAGAAAGGTGCCTCACTTCACTTGACCTGCGTGTAACTGTTACCATGTTAGAAAGGTGCCTCACTTCACTTGACATGCGTGTAACTGTTACCATGTTAGAAAGGTGCCTCACTTCACTTGACCTGCGTGTAACTGTTACCATGTTAGAAAGGTGCCTCACTTCACTTGACCTGCGTGTAACTGTTACCATGTTAGAAAGATGCCTCACTCCACTTGACCGGCTTCTAATTTCTTCTGGGCAATAACCTGCTTCTAACTGTAACCATGTTTGAAAGATGCCTTACTTCACTTGACCTGCGTGTAAATATATCATGTTTGAAAATAGTGATAACGCCAAGCATTCACGAAAAGATGAGCGTAAATGGCCCGCGAGTGGCACCTGTCACAAATCATCCTTTCGTTTGATCGCAAATAGATATAATCAGCCGGTATCGGTCTTCAGTGCTTATTATCAGGATATTATTCAGACATATCAGCGGTTAAAATTAGAATATATATATATATATATATATATATATATATAGATTATAATAATAAAAATAGTATAAAATAAAATAATAGTATAAAATATAAGCGTCAAAACCCATTCCATATTCACAAGAAAAGCAGGGTCGATTGTACAATTCCGACTCTGTCATGAGCAAGTGTTTATGAATTAATATCCAATAGTGATGACACCAGGTGTTCACGAAAAGGTCATCAGCATAACACGCGACCAACCAGGAAACGCTTTGGGACCACCCGATCCCCATGTTAGTCGGTACTACCTCACGGTAAGGGGTACAAGGGTTATCCACATTATGTTAGTATTAAACATGTTTGGTAATCTGACAGTTCGTGTGCAGCATATGATAATACTATTATATCAATCACATTCGCTGCTGGGTGAATCGAGGCATTTCTCTAAACCGGAAGTGTGGGACATGACCGAACTCAAGAAACACCCAGGGGGCTTGCACCCGGTCACCCATCACTTCACTCCGCGACCAACGTTGTTACACTTTGCCTGCTTTCCGACTTTGATCACACTGCAGACAGGATTAGCCTACTACATATGTTGATACAGTTATTATACGAAGCCCTATTCCTAACAGTAATCAGTTTCTTACATCGATTGCTGGGCTTGGTACCACGACTAACCTACATGTCCCTGGGACCTAACTTTCGATAGTTAGGCCTGATTCCACTGATTTACCCTCCAGAACTAAAATGATGGGAAACCAGTGAGACCGCCTCATCTGTTTCATATTTAGATCTATGCATAAAGATTAAGAAAGATAAACACTTGCCACAAGACTGTATGCCAAGTGAGATGACTTCAACTTTCCAATAGTCAACTTTCCCTTTATGTCGAGCAATATTCGAGCAGCTCAAGTCTTTGGTGTCTACATTTCACAACGTTTCAGGAACAATCGAGAATGCTCTTTCTACCAAATTTCAAAGATCGCCATACGACGTTTGCGCAAAAGTTGTCTAATCTAGGTTGCAACATTCAAGCCTCTGTAAAGCTTTTAAAAGGTTTTATGGTAAACATGATGTCCGAAGCAATTTCCTATTTTGACTGGTACCATATGTTCCTTTGTTTAGGTGAACAATTGACTTGCCTTTGCATGTGTTTATGACGGGTGCCATCGGTGGGGCAGGATACGCTCACCTTTTCGCGAACATCTGGTATCATGACTTTTTTATAGTGATTCAGAAACACATGCCAATGATGTAGTAGGAATCGTACAGTCGTCCCTGCTTCCAGGAGAGACTTGTTCTGGCCACGAAAGGTTTTTTGACGCTTTTTATGTATTCTTGCCTGGGTTCCCATGGTGGAGATTTGATAATAGACCCCGGATGTCACTGACAGTTGTATTGTCTAGACCTACCATGTACTTTGATAGGTAATATGAATATGTATTTTGGAGTAATATGAAAATGTTTATTTTGTGTTGTAGGCGATGACCTGACGACGTTAGCACCCTTGCCGAAGTTCCTGAAGACGGACACAAATGTGACTTTCAACAAAGGAGAAGAAGCCAAGCTGCAGTGCGCCATACAAAACATTGGCACACGAACGGTAAGTATGACACTCCTTTAACGACTCCATAAAACCGATGCCATACATGTCTCATAAAGCAGTATCATTGAATAGAAACATTTGGATGCTTTCTGTGGAGTTGCCCGTCAGCCCTGGTGCAGGTTGTACAATCATTTCCATGATGAAATCTATTCTGAAAAAGAATTCAACCAACGGCAGCGTCTTGTTTCTTGAAAACACTACAATTTTTATAATGTTACAAAATGCCATACACCATCTTCAAATTACTTTCAACTTTTTACCATAAACAGCTCACTTCGTTAAGAGATTTTAATTCTGCACTTCCTTCTTATGGAGCAATAGTGTGGATATTTTAAGCATACAGGTCCCGTAATGTGTCAGGCAATCTTGAGAAATTGCGAGGAGATCCTAATTTCTGTTTGCATTTAAAAGATTAAAGAACACACTAAAGTGAAAGAGGATATTTCATGGAATATAGAGTCATGAAAGCCTCTCCACACTGACACTGAATTGGATTGCGATGAATATCTGTCTTCTTTATCATATGGATGAACTGTATCAGACACTTCATCATTGTTACACTTGCATCACTGATCTGTTTTATATAAACGCGCATTTTCAGATAAAGATTGCGACGAAACACTCCATCCTATTCTTAATATAATGTGAGGTATTAACAATATTACGACGTTACAAGGTGGCCGATAGTTACGCTAAAAATGTCTTTACACCAAAACATAAGAAGTGAAACTGAGTTTGTGGTGATGTCTGTTTCTAGCTTAAACCATCCCGAGGTTATGGTGTCCACAATAACGGTGTCCGGCCTGACAGAGTTCCGCTGTTTAATTATTGTACATTTATAACCGTATTAGCCTAAGGGATCGTGTATGACATTTGGAATAATCTTTAAACACTTATACATATCGCATTCGACAAGAAACAAAACTTTGTAAAATGTTAGTGGTCAGTAAGTGTAGTCATCGATCGTTTATCACAGGCTTAACATTCAGCAAATGATATCTTCCTAAGAATTAAAATAATCAACTCGCTTGAGAATTTCGAAAATCGGGTTTATTTAAGAAAAAAGAAGAAAAACTTTCATCTTTGACTTTTTAGTACGGCAACACGAACCGGCAATTTCTTCTGTGTACTGCTTTCTTGAACTCTAGAGTATTATACATACGGCTGATAGAGTTATTTTAAGGCTGAAACAAACACTGTGAGGAATCGTTCCTGCAAATAGACTGTACACATACTTACCCTCACCGTCCGACAGATAACCGGCCTTTCTAAATGACGTAATGACAAAAACGAGCTGTTGTGTGGTTCAGATGAGGGCTTTGCTTTTGCAGTGCATGTAGCCTAAGTAGGACTGCTCATTACTACAGAGTTCTGTGTTTGTTCGAGAAGTTCATGAAGTAAGCACACAGACACAGGCTGACTTTAAGCGAGTTTGTTAAGTTCACAAAATACGGGAACGGTGTGAAAATTTTACGGTCGTAAACATTTGATGGAAACACGATTGTATCCAAAAGGGAACTATGTCAGCTATTGGTTTCAGTTTTAACGTATGAGCTCACTCGTACCAGAGCAAGACGAACGAAATGTCAAAAACTGGAAAAACATGTTTTTGATTGAATGTTACGTCAAAGCTGCTTGAGGGTGTGCTTCAAATTACGGCGTCACACGGGGTAATCCCTGAATCATAAACGATCGGGTGTTGACTTTATCTTTTAAGTTGAACCTACAACGTCCTACCCACTGGGAATTATTCAGTTCACAGTTTCAGACTGCCTGGGGATTATCTAAACTATGTATGTAAGGGTGCAATATGACAGAGCATGTCAGTTTTTTGGTGGCAAAGAAAGTGAGCGAGATGAAAGTGTTTGAATTTGATCCAATCTGAAGAAATTATTATCATCATTATATACTGCTATAAAAACTTGGGTGTCCTGGAGGACATAGACCTTACATCGACTCATGCATAGTTCTAGACAGGCAAGGTGCCGATATATTAGGGCATATAACTTCGGCCTTTCAACAATCGATCAGACATTTCAGTGATAGATCAATCCAGTGACACGATAGTGCGTTTACTGATTTTTGTAAAACTAAAAACGTCCTTCTTTGATTGTATAAAGGATTAAGATTTTGGAGCCAGTTGTTGATGATAAATAGAGTCTTAGGAATTTGACATGGCTGTATAATCCAAAATATCAATTGAATGTTGTATAAAATATAATTCGGCTTGACATTATAACAATAAGTATAATTTGCAAGGGGCATTTTAAGCTTTTAAGATCACTCGGTGTCAAGGCACTAACATTAAAATATCGTTATCTAGATTATTGCATCATATTGATAAATGTATGTTTTATATATTTCATGAACTGTTTCATAAATCGTCTTTCCCTTCTCAGTACCAATACAATACACAAATTAGTAAAGTAAAATGTGTGGTTGCATCGGTTTCCTATTGAGGTCTATGAATAAAGATTCTGAGTGACAAAACACTCTCAACAATCCTGTATGAGAAGATGACTGCGGCTTTCCAATAGTACACTTCCCCTTTATGTCGAGCAATATTCCTGCAGCTCCAGCCCAAGGTGTCAACATTTCGCAACTTTTGAGATACCCTAGAGCATGCTCTTTCTACCAAGATTTCAAAGAGCGTCACACAACTCTTGCTGAAGTTGTTTGATCAAGGTTACAACATCCAATGTGTCAACAAAGCTTTCATAAAGTTTTACGGTAGACATTTGGAGGACATTCCCAATTCGAAGCATCAATGACAAAAATGATGCAATTCCCTATTTTGACTTGTACCATATTTCACGTGAACCATGAACTTGCCTTTGCATGTATTTGTGACGGGTGCCACGGGTGGGGCAGGGTATGCTCACATTATTGCGAGCACCTTGTCTCCTGACAGTTTGATAGTGATTCATTAACACATGTTCATTATGTGGTCGGAACCCGTACAGTAGGCTCCTTCTTTTTCAGAGATTTGTTATGAATATGGAAAGGCTTTTGTCGCTCTTATTATTAAAATCAATATCACCGAAAGGTACATATGAATACATACCTTTACTATGTGACCGACTTATTACTTGGCACGAAGACGTTTGTCAGGCCTCATATTTCAGGAGGAATCATAAAGGTTTCATAGACATAATTAAAGAGCCTTCACGTCGCTTAGATCTTAAAAGCTCCTAACAGTCTTCGCGGCTCCTCCATCGCACATCTCCTTCCCTGGATTCCATCAACTAAAAATATATTTGGCAATGATGTAGAGTCTGCAATTTCAACTTTCCACAGATGCTGTGAAATATGCTGTGTAACAGAGTGTAAGGTAACCTTTGAAAAGGCTTGTAATGTGAAGCTTTGGACTGTAAAATGACAACTCTTACTACTTACCAGCGTACCTGACACGCCGCATCGCAGTGGTCTTTATAAAACGTATAATACTCGAATGAATCTGAACCCATCAATAGCCATTATCATTTTGTACATATTATGAGGCGTTCAAAAGTTTAAATCAAAGGTTTGTTACTTAAAGATAAAAAAATATATGACATCAACGCCAGAGGATGATGTGTCTCGCTTCCATCGGGTGAAATAGTGATGCAGATTACATGAATGGATCACTGAAAGTCAGTGATAACATCAGGTGTTGGCGAAAGCGAACCAAAATCAAAAACAAACTCAAAGAAACACATTTTAAGAAAACTCATCAATAAAACAAGCACACAGAAAACATAAAACACTCAGAAATAACAACAAACATTCCCAAACCCGCCAAAAAACACAGCCATGCTGTGGAAGGTTATGGCTTCATCGGGTTTTTGCTGAGTGCTGCAAATAAAGAGTAGCGAGGGAAACAACATGCCTCTAAACCCACCTGTGGATAATCGATAACAAAACACTACCCGCTGACACTTAAAAAAAGCCAGCTTTCACTGCACTGTCCAATTATGTAAATGGGCAGTTGTAGTCGCCAAAGGTTTCATTTACGAGGAAGAAAAGAAAATTGTTGCTGTCACCTTTACTTTGCACTTGATCACTCTTGTTGCCGGGACCGCTTGGGGCTGGGATACAACCAGAAGGACCTTGATGGATTTCAACGCTAGGAATCATACAATATACCGGATAATAACATACATGCAGGAACTTAATGGCAGACCTGCTCTGCTTCTCTTAGCAGAATGCCGCCAGTGGTGAATACTGAAGCAGTTTGGCGACAGGTTATTGAGATAGTGGAACCATCTTGTGCCTTCAGATGTCTTCTTAGTGGGTGGTTCTCGGCTTTCAATATTCTCAAATTGTGGCTAAACAGATGTGCGGATATTTAGAAAAGCTGGTTACTGTTTGCTTCCAAAATGTAACAGATATTTAGCCTCATGTCAGGTTCCTCTGCGGAATGATCGATTTACGTGAGAGTAACTTTCTATGTTTTTTCAGGCGTAACGAACAAACACTTTAACCACTAGTCTACCTTACCGCCCCGTATTAATTTGTCATGTTCAGCGCTATTCCCTCGAATTGAGCTGTGTCTGGAAATTCATTCCTTACTTCATTTTTATCAATACTCACATGTTACATTGGACCACTACCGAGGTCTAGTGGATAAAGCGTCTGCCCAGGTAGCCGAAGGTCGTTGATTCGATCCCCGGCAGCGTCATACGTTAAAATATGGTACTTGTTGTTACGTTGCCGAGCACTCGGTTAATGGCTTTAAACAAGGACTGGTCGGTACGGAGTCAGTATACTGTGTCTGACTGGGGTATTCATGTTAACTGAGGCTAGCACTATACAACTATAAAACGGACACTAGTCAGGGCTCACACACACACACACACACACACACACACACACACACACACACACACACACACACACACACACACACACACACACACACACACACACACACACACACGCACATGCACACGCACACACACACGCGCACACACACGCACACGCACGCACTCACACGCACGCACGCACACGCACACGTA